CCTTTTTTTTTTTTTTTTTTTTTTTTTTTTTTAAAGGGTTTTATACCCTATATATCTTTAATTGTCTAGCTCTATTTTATTGTGTGTAAGTTAAAGGTGTCCATAAGCTTTGGTAAAAACCCTTTGTCACTCACGATATTTCATGTAGGTCGTTCAATTTGATTTCAGTTTAATTAAAACCTTATATTTTTTCTAGCAAAATGTCTAACGTGGAAGACGTTCGATCATATTGATGACACACCATATTGTCGTCTTCTACGTGGCAGAAGAACTAACAAATTATAAAGTTAAAGAAGAAAAGAGTGTATTTTGGGTTGCATATATTCTGAACCTTAATTATATAAATCGCCTTTATCTATATCTAATCTCTGCAGGGGCAACATGCTCAATCGATGCTCCACCTTCTTAGAGAAATCCTCGACGGCATCCAGATAAACCCGGCGGCGGACATCCCTTTTGTGGTGGCGGACTTGGGCTGTTCATGTGGAAGCAACACCATTTACATGATTGACGTTATTATCAAGCACATGACGAAGCGATACGAGGCTATGAGTTATAACCCGCCGGAATTCTCAGCCTTCTTCTCCGACCTCCCTTCTAATGACTTCAACACTCTCTTTCAGCTTCTGCCGCCCTACGGCGGCAGTAGCATGGAAGAATGCCTAGCTTCAGACGGCCACCGCTCTTACTTTGCTGCTGGAGTTCCGGGATCTTTCTACCGGCGGCTCTTCCCAGCCAAATCTGTTGATGTTTTTTACTCTGCATTTTCTTTGCACTGGCTCTCTCAGGTTATTCTTATACAAGTCTTGATATATCTTACTACTTAGACAAATTCTACGTTTCCGATAACAATTGACTACCCTCCTTCAGCTGAAGTCTTGAAGATGAGGCCAAACCCCTCTTATATTTTATTTTCTTTAATAATAAATATGTCATAAATAGTGGTTTAACTAAAAAAATGTTGATGTAGCCTTAGGGTTTGAAAATGCTTGTAAAAGTTACTAACCTT